AATTTTTACATTTAGTTGGGGGGGTGTGGGGGGGAGAACTTATTGGGCAAATATATGACATTTTTAATTCTATACGACACCATAAATAAAGAAAACAGAAAATGAGAGATTAAGAAAGCAAACTTATAGCATCTAAAACCAACAATGAACCCATATCTAGATTCTACAAGGCACTCCAACAACCCAACAAGAAAACAAACGAAAAATCCAGTAGAAAAATGGGTAAGGATAAAAGATATACTAGTAAATAGACAGTTCTCCAAAACTCATATGCCCCGTAATTAGGTTGAATATATGCTCATACTCACTAGTAATCACAGAAATGCAACTTACAACAACTAAGATACCACTTTTCACCCCCTCAGCTTGGCAAAACTTAGAAAGGTGGGTAATGCCACGTGTTAGCAAGAATTTATCAAACTACCGGGAGGGTAAGCGATCAACCAAAGGACTTGTATCCATGCATATGAGCACCAATGGACACAGACAATAGGGGGATGGGGCATGTGCTGGGAGACAGAGCAGGCAGGGAGAGGTCAATGGGGGGAAAAGGAGACACATGTAAAACTTTCAACAATAAAGAATTTTTTTAAAAGAATTTAAAAAAAAGAATTTATGAAACTAGAATGCTTATGCACTTCTGGTGAGAATCTAGATTAGTACAGGAATTATGAAGAGCAGTCTGCTAGTACTGGGCAAAGTTGAGTTCATATATACCCAATGACACAGAAATCCTATATATATAGAGGCAGCAAATTGTTAGCTAAATGACCAAATCCAGTTAAAAACAAAATGCCCATAATTAGGTTGAATATATGCTCATACTCACTAGTAAAAGAATTTTTTAAATTCTTTTTTTAAAAATTCTTTATTGTTGAAAGTTTTACATGTGTCTCCTTTTTCCCCCATTGACCTCTCCCTGCCTGCTCCCACCTCCCAGCACATGCCCCACCCCCCTATTGTCTGTGTCCATTGGTGCTCATATGCATGGATACAAGGCCTTTGGTTGATCTCTTACCCTCCCGGTAGTTTGATATATCCATTTTACGAATATATGTGTGTATACATAAATATGTTTTATGATTTTATTATGTTTTATTTTTTTAAAATATATATTATATTCAAATGAAGATGTTCATTGCGGCATTGTTTATGATGGCTGAGAGATGGCGGCTTCCTACGTGTTCATCATTAGGGCAATGCATAAATAAATAGAGCAGGTGCACAGTATGGACTTCTGGCCACAAGCTAGAGAATCATCCAGCAATATGTATCCTTTTTAAAATCATAGTGCAGACTGGGGGTGAAGTCTCATCAACAAAATGAGATCTCATATACAACACTATTCATGTAAATTAAAACATGTCCGTCACACATAAAACAACATGACATCGTTTAAGAAGACACATTTAATACATTAGAGTCATTTTCTAGGGAAAATTGGAAACATGAGGATAAACAGGAATTCTTAAAAATCTTGTTGAAAGAAGCTAATCACTCAATTCTAGATTTCCTCCCTCCCTTCTTCCCAGTCCCTCTCCTCCTCCATGCCTTCCTTCTTCCTATCCCCACAGGTGTCAATCAGATGAGAGAATGAATAAGATTCTGTGTCAAGTGCTGTTGGGAAAATACGGATGATTTCCATGTTGCTTGGCCTGCAAGGATATTAAGCAAGAGGTGAAGACACCAAAAGCTTTAGCAGCAATACTCTGTCCCAGAGTTAAAACTCACAAACACATGCCTGCTCTGCTGTAATGTCAACAAATGCTGTTTGGATGTGCTAAGAGCTCTTGAGGATGACAGCAACACTCAGTAAAATAAATAAGCTATGTGACCGAGGCCAGAAGTCACTTTGCTATTTCTTTCCTTGTCAGGCTTTCCTGATGGCTTTCAAATGCAAAGGCCTATAGAGACCAGGAAGAAATAAAAATGGAAAAGGAGGGTCAACTGTAAGACACTAGGAAGGGGTGGGGACTGTGGCAAACTGGAGCCCATAGGCCTTCACTAAGTTGGTCTGCCACTACTCAACTCCAGCTAATTATTGTCATGCAGAAATGTGGCACTATTCTTCCATTTTCAAGAGAAGCTGAAAATCTAGGTTTCTGTATGAAATTGCTTTACTTTAAAATATTGGCAATGACTTTTAAACCCTGAGGATGCAGAGAGACAATTCATTTTGTTTTGAACTGGATTTGGTCATTTAGCTAACAATTTGCTGCCTCTAATACCATACTCATAACATCTGGATACTTAGAGACCAGTGCTATTTCTTACATCATTGTTTATTTTTTAACCTTGAATAACCTTTGTCCAAAAGGATGAAGGGAATGAGTTTAGATAAAATGCAAATTTCTGGCACCTACAGTCAGACAATAGGTCCAACGTCTGCTATTTGCTGAGCTCCATACAACGTGTTTGAAGTATTCAAAGAATGAGACTCCCAGGCCTCTCTCCTGGAGTGTCTGTGGTGTTCGGGGAACAAGCAAACAGGCACGCAGCGTACACGCATACCTGGGAACATATAGGAACTAAATGCGCGTCAGCTAATATAAAGATATAAGCAGTAGAAGCTGATTTGTGTGGAATTCTTTTATCAGATTAGAAAGTTTATATAAAATATACACATACTATGTGTACGTCCTAGAATAACTGATTTATTTCTTTTTTCAAAAAATTAAGTGTTTCAGCCCTGGCCAGTGTGGCTCAGTTGGTTGAGCATTGTCCATGCACCAAAAGGTCACCAGGTCGATTTCCCAGTCAGGGCACATGCCCAGGTCGCTGGTTCAATCCCTGGTTGGAGTGTGCACAGAAGACAACCAATGAATGTGTCTGTTTCCCTCTCCATTGCACTCTCTGTAAAATCAATAAAAACATTTTTTTTTAATTAAGTGTTTTAGGCACACAAAGATGCACAGTAACCACGTAACAGAGGATAACAGTAGTATGCCCATCACCCTGTTTACAAACTAAAACTGGGCTGATAAATATTTTCTGGCAGATATTAAATATTTGTGGGTCTCTGCCATAATTACTCAGAAGTTGCAGCATGAAAGTGGTCATGGACAATTTGGAGCTATGCTCCAAAAGACTTTATTTATGGACACTGAAATTTGAATTTTACATAATTTTCACATCCTGAAATGTTATTCTTCTTTTGATTGCTTTCAACCATTTAAAAATGTAAAAGCAATCATTCGTTCATGGGTCACACAAAACAGATGGCAGGCTGGATTTTTTTTTTACTGTTATTTATTAATTATTGTATTATTTTCCATACAAACAACTGCAGACCTACTTTTGCCCCACCCTATATATTTTGATGGGCCTCAGTCAATGTCAGCCCCTGAACGAAAATGTCACACACACAGTTGACACTCCCAGGGTACCACTTCCCAAATTGCGCCCGCCCCCGCTACTATTCCCGGAGTTAACCATTGTCCTGAAATTGGTGTTTATTGTTCCCATACATACTATTATATTTTTATTGCATGTGTCTGTATCCCTAAACAGTATATAATACAGTTTGTGTATTTTGCACTTCATAGAAGCAGTATCACAACTTGGGCACCCTGCTACCTCTTTGCTCAGTACTTTGCCTGGCAATCTGTCTGTTGTGCTCTGTGGAGCTTCATTCAGCCTTTTGCACAGCTGTACTGTATTCCATCATGTGAGCGTACTGCCCAATTATTCATAGGCATTTAGGTTGCCACTGCTAAGTCCTTTCTTTACATGTATCATCTCTTTCCACCTCACCATGACCTCGTCAAGGAGGTACTTTGATAATCCCCACAGTCCAAGTGAGAACACTTTTGACTTAGAGCAGTTTGGTCACTTGCTCTGGCTAGGGAGTAGTGACACTGGAATTTGAATCCACAACCTTTTTACGAAGAAATCTGAGTTCATAACCACTTGGCTTCGGTCAGTACGTGGTGTTTATTAACACAATGATATCGGATCCTGACCTTGGATACGGATGTGCAGTCAATAAACTTAGCCTTTCTCTGAGGACAACTTGAATCAGTGCCAAACGTTGCTGGTTGTAGTTGAGACCTTTGCTAACTGCCATGTACAATGTTGTGCTCATGAACCGGAAACCTCATTTCCTAACCACAGTGGGTAGGAATTTGGGAGGCATAAGTACTGACATAGCGCAAGGGTTGGAAAAGTTTTCAATCAAAGAACCCAGGAGACTTGTCCCTGCCTCTGTTCACATTTTATCAAAATCGTGAGTAATTCAGGTGTCTTCTTTCTGGGGAGGGACCACGGTGATGGGCGGTGGGTTTTGCTGCCTAGAGGGACTTAAATATCAGTGATGCCTTCGGAGCCTTTCTCCATCTGAGCAAGTCACACCATGGAATACCATATCCGTTTCCCCTCTTAGCTACAGTCAACTCGGACTTCTCCCCACACCTCTGGCTTTGAGGAATCTAAATTCAAACACTCGCGCCCTACCTCTTTCTCCCTTCCTCTCCCGAGAAGTCTCCCTGGCTCACTCCAGCTCATTCACATGACATTTGAAAGAGTCCAAACTATAATTTTTCTAGTGGCAAAATACAGCAGGAAGGAGGGGAAAGTTTTAATCAAGTGGGCGTCTTCTCCCGAGGGGAGCAAGTACTTCATTTCAATGCCTCATTTCCCTTTGATGAAAAGTTTAGTGAATTTTTATTATGTAGAATTTATAAGACGGCTTTTTTTTTGAGAGAAGATGATTTGATTTTTGGTGGTTGGCACACAGTACAATATACAGATCTTGTAACATAGAAATCCACACCTGAAACCTATGTGATCCTATTAACCAATGTCATCCCAATTCTTTCAGGTACAAGGAAATGCTAGAACTAGTGCTCTCACCCAGTCTTACTGTAAACAGCACCTGTGTGGGTAAACTGAAGCTTACTGCTGACGCCGATGTCCGGACTCTGAGTGGCACAGAAGGTAGGCCTCCTGGCATGAGCTGTGGTGGAACAGGGGTGGTCCCTGCCCACCCGGCGGAATATAGTAAGGGGCTATCAGACTTAGACACCCATCCTTTCGAAAGTACCGTCGTTATAACAGTTTCTCCTCCGGTCATTTAGATTGTTGCCGCTGGACCAAAACTTTGGCATACGTTGCTGACAATTCTGTCTAGTCATTGGAGGGGAAAGTGTGCTTGTTCGTGCTCTGAACTTCCTGTCTTGGTCTCCAGTTCCAAGAATTGCTGACACCTCCCCAGATGTAGCCAGTTTCGGGCGTGTTCCAGGTCCGGCCTGGTCTCCGCTCTGTCCCTCCGCGCTCTCCTGCCGTCGTGGCATCCAAGCAGGCGTCTTGTCTAAAGGGGGTTGGTGTTGGGACAAGAACCCCTCCACCTTTGGCTTTCAGGTCGGGTTGAAGTCAAGGAAGCAGAGGAGAGTTAAGCTGTTTTTAAAATTATTGGCAAATGATGCAGCCAGACGAGTTTCACTAGAACAATTCCAGCTATTGTTTGCTTGTTTGGGATCTGTCAGCCTTTCTGGCAGAGCTGGAGTTAACAAAAGGCATTAAGCTATTCTGTTTACCATTGGGCTTAACCCTTTATTGGGCCAGCTTCGGGGTTTGCTGCCGGTACTCTGGGACCCCCGGCTGTCTCTCCTTCACCATCTGGGTTTGATGCCAGCTCATGGGGCACAAATGCTATGTAACTGTTATGGAAAATGAGATGCGTTTCTAGTTGTAATATAACGTCACAAGGAATTTGCTTTTAAGCAACTCCAGGCTTCTGGGAGTCATTATTGATGTCACCAGGATTATGACATTTCCTTTCCATGCCGGCAGTGACGCTGGAACAACCCTTCGCTGGGTGCCACCAACAGGGGCTGGGCTCTCGTGCCCAACCCTCATGGCGGAGAACACCACCTCGTTCTTCCTGGCCCTTAGGAGCGTGTGTAAAGCCCCTGGGCTCGCACAGAATTTGAGCAGATGCATTGAGCCCCGTTCACAGCCAGTCATGCTTTTCTTTCTGTAGAGAGAGGCGCAACTTACCTTAAGCCCGTCTTCATTTCAGAGCCAGCGGAGCTGGGCCAAGGCATAGGCTGAGAGTAAGGAAGATCCAGCTCAGTCCCAGCTCCGCTGCCAACCAGCCCAATGGTCGTGGACAAATGATTGAGCTTTTCTGTGCCTCAGTTTTCTGTCAAATGGGGGCATAATCATGACCCACTTCACAGGGTGCTCACTGCAAGATTAAATGACCTAATATTACACAAAGTGCCTGGCCCAGCTTGGGGGCGTGGGACAATGGTTTAACTTACGATTCCATTGTCATTGTCCTCTGACTCCTAGAACCACAGTGAGCTCAAAGCCATGGGTGCAGGTTGCAAACTGGCAGCTCACAACCCAGTCTGACCTTCAGGCATGCCCTTGTTTTTTTGTGTGTGTGTTTTGTTTTTTTATGGATGACGCCATGTTTTAAATAAAAGGTTTAAAAATTGGGACAGTTCAGATGAAAATCTGGATTTCCAGGTTCTCTTGAAATGCTAACTACCTTAGAGACCCTGGGCCTGGCTGCCCCAGTGGGAGCCTGGGGCAGTTGTCCCAGAGGTGAGTCCCTACCTTGTGCCTTTAACTTCTGTGAGCACATGCTCTGTGCCCGGCACCGCTCAGAGCAATGTAAATCCAGATGAATTCTCCTCCTCCTCCTCCTCCGGCACCAATGGAGCGAACACTTGGCCGTGTGCCCGATGTTAATGTCTGAACGCAGTCAATCCCCACAACCCTGGGAAGTGGAGGCTCCCTAACCTCCCTTTACACGGGAGGAAACTGCAGCACGGGGGCAGCATGCAGCTTGGTCAGAGGGCGCAGCTACGTGACAGCCACAATGGAACTTAGGTCTGTCCTGTCAGGAACACACTGACTGTTTCTCACGTGATGTCACATTCCTGTTAGGCTAGGGTCGCGCTTTACCCTGCGGACGCCGAGGCATGGAAAGGTAAGTAGCCAGCTTAAAGTCACACAGTTCGTGGCAGGGCCAGGAATCAAACCCCGGCACTTCAGCTCCAGAGTCCCCACTTCTTCACTCGGTCATTGGTTTTTGATTTTTTGCTCTTACGCTCAGTGCTGCCGGGGTGTCACCATGCAGGCTGTGCGCGGTGCACTGTTTCTCAGGAAGACACTGAGAGGTGGATCTGCAGCCTCAAGGGCTCCCTGCCCCTTCCATTCTGCATTACAAGCGCCCCCTTCCCCAGCATCGCCTCTGCCTCCTGAGCCCCTCCACAGAGTTGGTAGTGTCTCTCTCTCTCTCTCTCTCTCTCTCTCTCTCTCTCTCTCTCTCTTTTATTTTTATTGATTTCAGAAAGGAAGGGAGAGGGGAAAGGAAGATAGAAATGATGAGAGGGAATGATGAGAGGGAATCATTAATCGGCTGCCTTCTGCACACCCCCTACTGGGGGTCAAGCCCGAAACCCTGGGCATGTGCCCTTGACTGGAATCAAACCCAGGACCCTCTACCCACTGCGCCAAACCAGCTAGGGCGCTAGTTTCTCTTTTGTTCCTTTACTTCTCTAATAATGTAGTCAACAGATTGTTTGATGCACCTACTGATTACGAGGCACTAGGACAGGTGGGGATCCAATCCTACCCACTACCTACTTTCCGGGGAGACCATCACTCTGCTCCCAGGGGTCCCTGCACATCACATCCTACACGGTGTGGGCTCAGCCCGGCCACCTGTGTATCCCAGCCCTGCCCTCAGCTCACTGTGTGAACCTGGGCAGATGTCTACCCCTCTCTGAGCCTCAGCCACCTGTCTAGATAATGAAAGTTTGTTCAATAAATTGTCCGCAAATGCCTGCAGGCCCTGGAATAAGTTCTGGGAATATAATAGTGAACAAGACAGACAAGTCCCTGCTCCCAGAGCTTATGTTCTAGTGAAGGGGCAGGTACTGAATTTTTAAACAAATAAGGGGTTTCAGATGGCGTCATTTCTATGAAAAGTGAAGCTGGCCTGTGAGAGAGAGCAGCCTGCGTGTGGGCCAGTGGCTAGAAAGGCTTTCATGGTGTTAAAGCCTTTGCAGAATGCTGGCCGCTTAGAAAACACTCCGCAGAGGGTAGCTGTGTCTCCCCCACTTTAATGTGCAGAGGATCTCACCTGGGGACCTTGTGAAACCGCAGATGCTGATCCCGCCTAAGAGTCTGCATTTCTAACAAGTTCCCAGGTGATGCCTCCGCTCTGGTCCACCCGGACTCTGAGTAGCAAGGTGCTAGCTGGGTGGTTCTCAAGTCCTCTTGCGCATCAAATCACCTTGGAAGTTCTGTTGGCACACCAATCGCAGAGCCCCACCCCTGGCCTTCCTGATTCTATAACGTTTTGGGCGAGGACTCTGAGAATTTGCATTTCTAACCAGTCCCAGGTAAACTGCTGCTGCTGGTCCAGTGACCACACTCTAAGGACCAGGTTCTGGTGCTGGTTCTAATGCTAATGTCCAGATCCCACCTTCAGAGAGTCTAATTGGTCAGAAGTGTAACCTAGACAATAGGTTTTTTTTAAAGCCCTCCGAATGAGTTTATTGTGCACCCAGGGTTGGAAACTGTTCTAGATGCTAAATTCCTCCAAGACAAAGACAAGTTTTAATTCACATATGTGTATTTACATTTCTGTTCCAAATGAGTACATAACTCAGTGCCTGGCTCATGGTAGATGCCCCAAAATTATTTATTGGGGGCGGGGGGGGGGTGCATAGATAGATGGTAGAAGATGGTGGATGGGTGGATGGAGGGAGGGAGGGAGGGAGGAAGGGAGGGATGGGCAGGTGGATGAATACAGAGCAGTCTTGAGGAATCACAGATAACTTCAGGTTGATACTGGCTTTGAACCCTTAGTTAAAGTTTCCTTTACTTCCCCAACCTCATTTTCCAGGTGTGTAAAGTACAGATAATAACTTCCTCATTGGGTTGTTGTGGGAATAAAAGAGATAAGAGCCATGCAGCCCTTTAGCACAGTGCCTGATCTGTTGGAACCACTGGAGAAATATTAGCTATCCTTCATTACCATTCAAGGGAAAATTGGATTTGAATCGTATTCCATCTTCTGGAAGGAGAGCAGCGGGGAAGTTATAGAACTAAGAAAGTAAAGTTGAATAGAGAAATTTTTTTCTTTTAAAATCCAGATACAGTGCAGCCAGTGTGGCTCAGTGATTGAGTGTTGACCAGTGACCAGGAAATCACGATTCGATTCCCGGTCAGAAAACATGCCCAGGTTGCAGGCTCCATCTCCAGTGACGGGCATGCGGGAGGCAGCCAATCAATGATTCTCTCATATCATTGATGTTTCTCTCTCTCCCTCTCCCTCTCCCCCTCCCTATCTTTCTGGAATCTATAAAAATATATTTTTTTAAAATGCAGATACATTTTGCAAAAGCCGAGGCTATAATCTCTTTGGTGTTCCCTTGGAAAGGCGACACCACCCCCCTATGGAACAAGCTGGGCTGTCCTCTTCTCTCAGACTTCCTGCAACTCCCTCCTCTGCCCTGGGCCTGGCAAGGTCTGATTGTGAGTTTCGGTCTCACCGGTTCCAGCCTGGGGCTGGCAGGTTTTGATTCATTCCACCCAAGCCCGATTGAGCTGCCCAGAGCTTTGCCCAGGTCCTCACCTGGGGCGCCGCAGGGCACCTTCACCTTTCCCATCTCTATCTCAGCTGGCTTCCTGCGTGAGTTGGCACCCAGAATGACCCCTGCTGGCACAGAACAGAATTAGTGTAGTATTAGGGAAATTGCCAATTCCCTCTTTTGGAAAAAGGGCACTGAGTATTATGAATTACCTAGTGCCCTCCATGGGTAAAGGACTTACACTTACGGTGGCATCTCACAAACTTCACACATTCTCAAGCTACTTTCTCTGCCACATATTCATACTGTCACTTGCTAACTCATTTTTCTTTAAAACAACTCCCTTTCAATAAATTCATTTTACTAGTAAAAGGATGACTAAAGGCCAGTTCCAGAAATGAAAAGTTACAACTCTGATAGACTTGTTATGATTCTAATACTCATTAAAATAAGTCTGTGATGATTCAAGTAGAAAAAGGTGTATATGCATGCCCCCTCTAATCTCCACACTCTGGGGTACTCTGGCTTCATTCCTTTCAGTCCTCAGGAACAGCCCCGAGATGGACAAAGGACTTGTTCACTGTCACATGGACACTCAATGCGAGTCAAAGTTGGGGTGTTCACTTCTGGACTCCTAATACAGTGCTCTCTCCTGCTGTCCCTGTCCCTGGTCCAGGAGCAATTTACATCACCCACATGAGGGAAATGAGCTGATACGGTTACAGGCATGCACCTTTTGTGGCAAAGACCTGCTTCAGAGCATCTCACCAGAAATTGTCTCATCTCTCAGAGATCAGTTAGAAGCAGCCCCTGGGGGCCAGTTAGACATCTTAATAGTGGTTGCTGCTTTCAGAATCATTAGCTTCTTAATCCTCCCAGTGAGAAGTAAAAAAAAAAAAGTGTGAACATTCAAATTGGGCTCCTGGATTTAAATGGCTTAAACAAGGGCCCCAGGAGACTAGAAAGCTCATAATAGCTGCTGCGCGTTGAGCGGTTACCGTTTGGTAGGTACATGCCTGTGTAATCTTTGCAGCAGCTCTTCGGGAATGAGATGTTGCCCCATTTTGCAGATGTAGAAACCGAGGCTTAGAGAGAGAAGGTCACAGGCATAAAGTCACACAGTTTCATTGAAGCAGAACAGGATTTGAATTTGGATCTGACCCCTTCTTGCCCACATGCTTTCTTCAGAGGGAATATTAAGTTAACAAATGCTGAGATTTGGCTTGCAGATCTAGCCCACAGTAGGTGCCGAATAAACATTTGTTGAATGCATGAATGAATGAGCAGTGTGGGCAAGTTCCTTCACACAGTCACGTAGACACACAGTCACACATAAGTGTGCACTTACTCGCACAGACCCCAGCTTGAGTTGCCTCATATTAAATCTGGATCTTGACTTTGCTCAGTTATATTACCTTCTTGGTCCCAATATGCATTTGAGTTTGTAACTTCAGGAACGGAGATTTATTAACCCAGAATTGTGATCCTTTTAGTAATTTGCAGTTCTTTACTAGCTCATGGTCTAGACTCTTCTACTCAGAGTGTGGCTCCTGGGCCTGCTGCGTCGGCAGCACCTGGGAGCTTCCTTGCCCTGCAGACCCGGAGTCTGCATTTTAGCAAGATCCCCAGGCCAGTGCTGTGCCATTAAGGTTCCAGGTGCATTGCTCTACACCGTCCACTTTCCTCCTTGTACCTTGTTATAATTATAATGAAGTACTTACTGATGTAATTTGTGTTTGCCACAGGAGGGTTCATGAGGGCCGGGACACTGACTGCTTTTGCTCACTACGGGAACCCCATTCCTAGCATAAGCCTGGCACCTGGTGAGCAATGAAGGAATGAATGAGTTCATTCCAGAGGCTCTGCCCATCTGTTAAGCTCATCCTTCTCCCTTCACCCATGGAAAGCTGGGGAGGAAGAGCAGGCTTAGAGTTTTAAATTCAGAAGTAAATGGAGGAGGCTCTCTGCCCCTCTCCACTTGAGAGCTGCCTGCCCTATTTGATGTGTCAGCCACTCCCTCTGAGACACATGGTGAAGCCTGGATCAATAGATGTGGCTCTGGTGAGTCAGCCACCAGGGCTGCTTCCACCACTGGCAACGTGGATAGGAGTTGCCATCAATGACTCCTCCCTTGACCTCCCCCTCGCCCATCATGGCAAGTTCAATGACACTGACAAGGTTAAGAGCAGGAAGTTGTGATCACCAGGAAGTCTATCTCCCTCTACCAGGCACCAGATCCCACAAATATCAAAGGAGCTGCTGCTGCTGAATGTGGTTGTCACCCCAAAGATGCCTGGGGCTCACACAGCCCCATGTATGTGACGGGGTGACCATGAGCAGTGTGACCACTGCCCTAGATTGCCAGAATGCTTGCCCCCCTCACACCCTCTGCCAGGGTCTTTACACTTCCCGAATGCCTGTATCTGGCTTGTACAGTTTTCCCGGGGTTGCCGGGGTGGGGATGGGAGAGGGTTACAGGTTTGCACCGCAGGAGAGGGCAGAAGGCAGATCTCTCCACAGTTCAGAGGAACAGAGGAAGCCGAGTGAGGGGAACATGCAAATCATGGCAGAAGGGTTGTGGGGCATAGATTCTCGCTTCAGATTTATTGGCTGCCACGTTGATCCCAGCCCATAGGAATGTTTTCATAGATGCAGGTTTTTATGAATATGTACATATTTATTAAAGAAAACATATTAAAAATGTTTAATTCAGTAACTTATGTACCTAACACACTCAAATCATAGGCTTTTACCAATAATGAGACTGTGGCTGCTTCAGAATGAGACAGTTCATTTTCTATCACTGGGGGAGGATGAGGATGGAGGTATGGAGGTATGGGAGGCCCTGCCCGGAGCAGTAAACCCCGAGTGGGGAAATTAGCATTGAATGAGCACCTACTGTGTGCCAGAGGCTTCCCTAGATGTTTGACTGCTCCAACTTTTCTTTTAATACGACACATAGTAAGAAATCTGTTTGATACTGCCATTCTATACCCTCACATACACACACACTCATACACACACAAAACACAGTCTCATGTCTCTAGCTGGAACAAAAGCTTCACATTTCCTTCTCACTATGAGTATTCCACGCTGATATTGTCTCTTTTATTCTTTAATTCCAGTTGTAGCTCTCTAAATGGGCTTTAGGACCCCACCCTCACCCCAGTGGTTTTTAACTCATAATTTAACTCATCTGGTGATGAGGGGAAATGACCTGGCAGTCAAATTACCCTTAGGTTCAAGTCCCAGGTCCTATGCCCATGGGTTGTTTGGCTTGAGCAAGGCACATAGCCTTCCCCAGCTCCTCCATCTGTACACTGGGGAGAATGCCATTGTCTGCCTTGTACCGTGTGAGGACTAGATGAGATCATGCATACAGGCAGTGAACTCAGGGCCTGGCATGTAATGAGCTTCTCAATGGATGAGAGCTGCTCTTAGCATGATGACCATCACTGTGGGCTGCAGTGTCCTGTTGCAAAGACCGACTCCAGAGCCAGACCACCAGGTTCAGATCACAGATCGGCACCGTATGACCTGTGTGGCCTTGGGGGAGTAACTCTCTGTGCCTTCAGGTCTTCATCTGCAACAGGAGGTAGTGACTAGAGCCCTGCTCATGGGCTGTGTGGCCTTGGGGGAGTAACTCTCTGTGCCTCCAGGTCTTCATCTGCAACAGGAGATAGTGACTGGCACTACCAGGAGGTAGTGACTGGTAGTGACTGCTCACGGCGTGATTATGAGGATTAAAATAACTAACCCGGATAATGTATTTAGAGGAGAGCTTGGCACATCACAAGCGCTGGGTCAATGGTGGATATCACCGTCATCTTCTCATTTAATTCTCACGCATCCTTGTGAGATAAAGATTTCCCCCCATTTCACAGGAGGAACTGAAGTCCAGAGACTCTAGGCAGCCTGCCAGAAGTCTCTGCTACTCGAGGTAGAGTTGGAATTGCAGGTTGATCTTCTAGCCTCCAGCTCAGGGACTGAGAGGGGATCAGGCTCAGGCTCAGAGCCACTGCCCTGCACACCAAAGAGTGTGGATTGCCAAGTTGGCACCATCAATGGACATGATATCTAGGATTTTCCAGGGCTCCACAGTGAGGACACTGAGTTGTGCTATGAAAGAGGACATAGAGTTGAACTGTCCATTTGTAAAATTATCCTCTTGCAAACAACTCTCCTTGCTTAGTTCTATCACCTTTTCATCACCTCTTATTGTCTCCCACTGACGGTTGGATGCTGTGTGCCCAGAGATACGGTTGAGTCAGGAGCCCAGGCCACTGCCATCTCCCTGCTGCACACCCTCGCTGGAGCCTAGGAGGTGACCCAAGAGGTGCCTTCCCCTCAGTGCTGGGGCCAGCCCTACCTGAACCCTATGGGCTGAAACTGGGGAAGGAGGGAAAGAACATCAAGGTGATGTCATTGGAAGAAGGGAAATGGGTTTTGAGAGTCAGGAAACCCAGTTCAGGTGCCAGTTGTGCCGCGATCTAGTCAGATGACCTGGTCAAGCACCTTCTTTCTGTCCCTGTGGCCTCCGTTTCTCCCTGTGCAATGGGTGGGAGGATGGATGCCACGCTGATGTTTGGAGATGCTGCCTTTCTCTGCAGTCCTTCAATTAGTACTGGAGACAGAGCTCTCCCAGAAGGGGCTTTCAAGGAGAGTGCTAAGATGTGCCTCACGTAAGCTGCTGTGGTTGAGAAAGTCCCAGGCAGCAATCTCTGAGTTTCTCCCCACTGAAAGTGGCATCTGAAGTCACAGCTGCTGTGGGACACCACTCCAATCGCTAAAGCCCTTCCCCCTTGTCTCTTCCCCTCCAGGCATCACCACATCGGCCCTTCCACGTGTGTCCCAGCTCTTGGCACGGTGAGTACCCTTGCCTTGGCTCTTTGCCTTGTCTCCTCACACCCTCTGCCTTTTTCTTTCTTGGAGGACAGATATCTAGAGCCAGACTCTCTGGAGAGGAATTGCAAGGCCAGCCCTTACTAGCTGAGCCACCTTGAGCAAAGGACACACCTCCTCCGGCCTCAGTCTCACCATCCGGAAAAGGGGGACACTCATGATGCCTGTTCCATGAAATGAGCTAAAACGTAAAAAGCACTTAGAAGGCAGCCTGGAACAGTGATTTCAGTGTTGGCTGTTGTGGGGTTTTTTTTTTTCATCTTTCTTTGTTCAGTTTTCAGTTTTTCCTTTCTTCTCTCCTTTCCTATGCATAGACTCTCTCTCAATTTCTTCCTCCCTTCTTCCTTGTCTCTCTTTTTTCCTTTCCACTTCTTTTCTCTCTCACTTCTTTCTCTCTCTCTCCTTCCCTCTCCCCTCCCCATCTTTTTCTTTCCTTTCCTCTCTTCGTCTCCCTCCCCCTCCTTCCTTTCATCCTTTCTGCTCCAACGTTCACCCAACACACTTCCGTACCAAACCCCATACACAGCCCTGGAGTCTCGGAGGTCCCTGCCTCGGAAGGCTTCCAATCCAGTGGGGAGACGGGCCAGTAAATCAGAAATCTCAGCTCTGCATGCGGGCAGCAGAAACGCTCCACTGGAGACATGCGTTGGGCAGAGGGAGCTCAGGGAGGGACGCAGCGTACCAGGGCCCTCGGTGACCTGCCTGGGGAGCCCCCTGCGTTTGGCCTGTGGGATGGCCAGCAGCTCCTTGTCTGGAGTGCTCCTCCCTTGACAACCCTGGAGAAGCTATTTCTAAGGAGCACCTTTCTCAGCTTCCTCTCCCTCCAGATATTTTGGGGGTTGTTAGTAGCAACCGAGGTCTGTTAAATCTTCCAAGCTTACTTTATGGCCTCAGGATTAGAGCACTCCCTCATCTCTTCTCCGGGTTTTCGTTTCATCCCCAGTTTAATCCAAGTGGGGTAAATTGGTTTTGATGGGAAGCAGGAGTGGATCATCTCAGATTTCCACTTTCTCCTTCTAAGGACAGTTGTCCATTGGGTACATTTCAGATAAGGTTCACTGCTAGGTCCCGACCAACTGGATGCATTTCCAGGCACCTCCCAGAGAGGACACATTGGCTGGTCAAACGCCTTCTCCTATTGGTTCTGGCGTCCCCAGTTCAAATGAGTTTCTTATACATTTTGGAACCAGTTCCCCAACCCTCTATCGCAGGAGTAATCAAAACGAAGGAAAGATGTGAGAACATCTTTTTATCGTTCCATGAAGTATTGCATCCGTCTCACGCCTGCCATGAGGCTTCCTATGTAGGAGGGACTCTGGAACCAGACAGGTTGTCACTGAAGTGATGTAACCAAAACAGAATTAGGTACAGATGGGGGATCTCATTAAAATTTACTGGCAAACATGCTGGTTAGAATAGTTAGATACGGGATGTCAAGTACACATGGCTGTGGTGTCCAAGTGTGTGACCTGAAGGGTGAGGGGGCATAGCGCAGTAATTAAGGCCCTGGCCTCTGCCAGCAGGGTCCAAATTCTGTGTCAGCTGTGGGTTCCTTTAGTACATTGCTTAGTCTCTCTTGGCCTGTTTTCTTATCTGGAAAATGGGGAGATGATTCATCACTGCCTCTAAGGGTTGTCACGGTTGTGAGGTTTAAATGAGCCAAGCCACATAGTAATTCGGACAGTAGTACCTGGCATATGAAAGGCACGAGAATGGCTGTTAGCTGTTTTCAGCATGAAGTGGTCCCGGTGGAGACTGTTGCTGACAGAGTGTGGTAGTCTGAAGAGGTGGCAGTTCCTCAAATCCAGCTGATGGCGCTGACCAGAGTGCAGGCTCAGCTTGCCAGAGCTTCTGCTTTGCAAGAGAAGGAGGTAATGAGGAGGAAGGGGAGAGAATAAAACCTCCTGGTTTTAAAATGTTGGCAATGAATTCAAGTAAATAACTGTACTGGCCAAAGAAATTATATCCATGGATGCATGGACTGCACATGGCCCCTGGGCCACCGTCTTGCCCCCTTCCTGTTAGAACAGCCCACCTTGGCTTTATTTATTGCTGCTTCAACAAAGTATTGAGAGGCAACGAAGTTTCATGGCTCCAAGTGTAACTATGGGCTCTGGAGTCAGAGTCCGGAGTTTAAGTTCTAGATTTCCCACTTTCTAGCTGTGACTTCAGGTCTCTGAGCTTCAGTTTTCTCTTCTCTAAAGTAAGAGGTATAAGACCCCCACCCACACCCAGAGAGTTGATGTGAGCATATGATGAGATTTCATGCACGTATTGGGCCTCAGTAATTGGTAGTAATCATTTTATTACAGACTAGCGTCCCGGTGCACAAAATTCATGCACTGGGGCGGGGGGGTGCGGGGTGTCCCTCAGCCTGGCCTGCGCCCTCTCTAATCTGGGATCCCTCTCACAATCTGGGACTGCTGGCTCCTAACCACTCGTCTACCTGCCTGCCTGATTGCCCCTAACTGCTCCCCTGCTGGCCTGATCACCCCCAACTGCCCTCCCCTGCCAGCCTGATCGCCCCCAACTGCCCTCCTGCCCTTCCCTGTTGTGACCCGGCCTCCTCCACTGGGTCCCACCTCCTCCGTGCATGTGGCCATCTTGTGACAGCCATCTTGTAACAACATTAGGGCGTGATATGTGAGGGCTCAACGACCACCTCTTGTGACAGCCATCTTGTAACAACATTAGGGTGTGATATGTGAGGGCTCAACGACCACCTATGCCGGTATTGGCGAACCTTTTGAGCTCGGCGTGTCAACATTTTGAAAAACCCTAACTTAACTCTGGTGCCGTGTCACATATAGAAATTTTTTGATATTTGCAACCATAGTAAAACAAAGACTTATATTTTTGATATTTATTTTACATATTTAAATGCCATTTAACATAGAAAAATCAACCAAAAAAATGAGTTCACGTGTCGTCTCTGACACCTGTGTCATAGGTTCGCCATCACTGACCTAGGTTATTAGTATAGATGTCTTAGGAAGGAGCCCTTTAAATCCTAGCCCTTTGTGGAACCTGTCATTCACCATGGAGTGCAGAATCCATTTGTGTTCTATGGTTGCAAGTAACAGAAATCGACTCCAGCTGATGTAAGCCCAAAGGGACTTTCTTGAGGTTTCTGTATTCTTTTTTTTTTTTTGTATTTATGGGGGTGACACTGGTTAATAAAATTACATAGGTTTCAGGTATACAATTCTCTAATACATCATCTGTATATTGTATTGTGTCTATGACCCCAAGTCAAGTCTCCTCCTGTCACCGTTTATCCCCTTTACCCTCTTCTACCTCCCTACCCCCTTTCCCTCTGGTAATCACCACACTCTTGTCTGTGTCTATGAGGTTTGGTGGGGTTTCTTCACCCCACAACCCCCCACCCCCACTCCTCTGACAGCTGTTCTCTGTATCTATGAGTCTGTTACTATTTAGTTTGTTTATTTTGTTCATTAGTTTCCACATATAACTGGAATCATATGGTACTTGTCTTTCTCTGACTGTCTTATTTCACACAACACAATGCTCTCCAGGTCTATCCATGCTATCACAAAAAAGGCGAGCTTTCCTTCTTTTTTATGGCTGAGCAGTGGTCCATTGTGTAAATGTACCACAGCTTTCTTACCCACTCATTTACTGATGGACATTTGGGCCGCTTCCCAATCTTGGCTATTGTAAATAATATTGCGTATATTCTTTTTTGAATTAGTGTTTCAAGTTTCTTTGGAATCGCTGGGTCATAAGGCAGTTGCCTTTTTAATTTTTGAGTTAACTCCATAACGCTTTCCATAGTGACTGTACTAATCTTCATTCCCAGTAGCCGTGTACCAGGGTTCCCTTTTCTCCACATCCTTACCAGCACTCGTTGTTTGTTAATTTATTGATGGTAGCCATTCTGACAGGTGTGAGATGATATCTCATTGTGGTTTTAATTTTCATTTCTCTGATGATTAGTGACATATGTTTTTTCATATGTCTCATGGCCATCTGTTGTCCTCTTTGGAGGCGTGTTTATTCAGGTCCTTTGCCCATTTTTTAATTAGATTGTTTGTATTTTTAGTGTTGAATTTTATAAGTTCTTTATAAATTTTGGATATTAACCCCTCATCAGATGTATCATTGGCAAATATGATCTTCCATTCAGTGGGTTGTCTTTTCATTTTGTTGATGGTTTCCTTTGCTGTGCAAAAACTTGTTAGTTTGATGTAGTTCCATTTGTTTTGTTTTTTTTCTTTTGTCTCCCTTACCCAAGGAGAGGTAGCAGAAAAAATATTGCTATGAGAAATGTTCAAAATTTTACTGTCTGTTTTCTTCTGGGATTTTTATGGTTTCAAGTCTAACATTTAAGTCTCTAATCCATTTGGAATTTATTCTTGTGTGTGATGTAAGAAGGTGGTCTAGTTTCATTTTATGCATGTATCTGTCCAATTTTTCCAATATGATTTTTTAAATATTTTTATCGATTTCAGAAAGTAAGTGAGGGGGAAAGAGATATAGAAACATCAATGATGAGAGAGAATCATCAATAGCTGCCTTGTGCATGCCCTCTACTGAGGATCAAGCCCGCAACCCAGGCATGAGCCCCTGACTGGAATCAAACCCAGGACCCTTCAGTCCCCAGGCCAACTCTCTATCCACTGAGCCAAACCAGCTAGGACGCCAATATAGTTTACTGGATTGAATAAACTATCTTTACCCTATTGTATGTTGCCTCTTTTGTCAAATATTTATTGACCATTAAAAGTGTGGATTTATTTCTGGGCTCTCTATTTTATTCCATTGATCTATATGTCTGTTTTTATGCCAGTACTATGCTGTTTTGATTGGCCTTCTAGTATAGTTTGATATCAGGTAATATGATTCCACCAACTTTATTTTTCTTTCTCAAGATTGCTGAGGCTATTAGGGGTCTTTAATATAAATTTTTGGAATATTCGTTCTAGTTCTTTGAAATATGCATTGTTAGAAATTGCATTGAATCTCTTGGTTGTTTTGGGTAGTATGGACATTTTAATGATGTTAATTCTTCTTGTCCATGAACACGGCATATACTTCCACTTATTTGTATCTTCTTCAATTTCTTTCTTCATTGTCTTATAATATTCTGAGTACAGGTCTTTTACATCCTTGGTTAAATGTATTCCTAGGTATTTTTTTTATGCAAAGTGTAAATGGGATTGTTTTCTTAGTTTGCCTTTCTGATAGTACATTATTGGTGTATAAAAAAAATCTGATTTCTGGCTATTTATTTTGTATCCTGCTACTTTACTGAATTCATTTATCCATTCTAGTAGTTTTTGGTAGAATCTTTAGGGTTCTCTATATACAGTATCATGTCGTTTGCAAATAAAGACAGTTTTACTTCTTCCTTTTCAACTTGGATGCCTTTTATTTCTTCTTCTTGCCTGATTGCTGCGGCTCGGACTTCCAGTAATGTTGAGTAAGAGTGGTGAAAGCAGACGCCCTGTCTTGTTCCCAATCTTAAAGGAAATGCTCTAGTTTTTGCCCATTGTCTCTGCCCTGGAAAGAGGAAATACCCAAAGGAAAATGGTGGTATTGATACCAAAACAAGGGGGAGGGGATGCTGGGCTGGGGTTGGAGATCTCATCTTCTCTCCTTCCATGCAGACCTTGCCCACGTGTCCTGTCCAGCCAGCCTCCCACGGCCATGGCAGCCTACGGCCAGACACAGTACAGCACGGGGATCCAACAGGCCACCCCCTACACAGCTTACCCACCTCCGGCACAAGCCTATGGGATCCCTTCTTACAGTGAGTACCAGCCAAAGCCCTTGCTTCCCTGTGGGGCCCCAACATCATGGTCTTCCTTCTGTCCTATCGCCTCAGTTAAATGCAGAATCAGAAGTGATTCCAGCCTGATTTTGTATTAGAGATAGAAAAGGACAGACACATTAAATATGGTTCAAGTTCTAAAGACTCTATCAAGGCCTCTTTTGATTGCTAGAGTAAGAAACTTAACCCAAGCTGGCTTAGGGGAAGATGTAAATTTAATGATTAACACACTGGGGTCTGACATTAGGAATGGCTGGGTCCAGGTGGTCAAATGATGTCAGGAAGAATATATCTCACTCCATATTCAGATGTTTCCCCCTGAGTGGGTTTTACTCCCACATAGGTTCTTCTCCTGTGGCAGCAAAGATGGTGCCTGTCAACTCTGAGTTTGCATCCTTTCAGCTCAGCACTCCCAGTGGAAGGAGAACTCATCGTTCCCAGTAGTTCCACCAGAATCCCATATTGAGCCTCACTGGCCCAAATTGGGTCATGTGACAAGGCAAGAAGGTTGGGGTGAGAGAGATAAGGAGGCTGACGCCTATGGATTGGACAAGTGAAAGGGATGGTTCTCTTAAAGGAAAGCACAGTAATGGTATCAGAAGGAGAACTGGATTCTGGGAAGGCAAAATCAACAGAGCTACAGACCTTGACTATCAGAATCTTACTGCTAAGAACTAGAGACTCAGTGAACCAGGCCCACCATCCACTGCTCACCTGTCTGCATTGACCAGGATGCTCCAGAGTAACAGAACCAATGGGATGGAAATAGATAGTTGAGATAGATAGATAGATGATAGATAGATAGATAGATAGATAGATAGATAGATAGATAGATAGACAGACAATAGAAATTGGCTCACCCGATTATGGAGGCTAAGAAGTTCCAAGATCTGCAGTTAGCAAACTGGGGAGCCAAGAGAGCAGTGATGTCATGATATGCATGCATGGTATAAAGGAAGAATAATTTAGGCTCCAGGGCCATGCAGGCCTTTTAGATGAGGATCTGAGCACTGAGAGATGAGCATGAGCAAGCTCAGGAGGGAGAGTGCCCAGGCACAGGGGACTGCAGTGGGAAGGCCTGGGGTGAGAAGGCATTTGGCAAGTCCAAGAAGCCCAGGCAGCTGGAGCACAGTGGGGAACAAGGTGGGCAGAGCCTGAGAGGCCTGGGAAGGATTTGGGATTTTATTACAAGTAAAACAGGAACTCTCATTGGCAGATGGATAAGCTGAGGGCTGTAGGGTACATTCTGGGTGCTGTCCAGGTCACTTAGCTGCTGTGGGGACGTTGGATTGCAGGGAAGCAGAGGAGAAGCAGGCAAGCCAAGGGGAGACTGATACAGGAGGAGGGGGGCGGTGGTGAGAGCCTAGGACAGGGCAGTACACACAGAAATTGGCAGATTTAAGAGCAGTCCTAGAGGTGGCAGTGACAAGTCCTGTGGGCTTCGGGTCAGGCATTGGTAATGGTCAGCATGGTTGAGCTACTGCCACCCACAGTTCTCAGTGCTACGTGTCCACTAATTCCTTAACCCTACGAGGAAGGTCCCACCATTATCCTCTTTTGAGGGATAAATAAGTGGGAGCTCAGAGAGGGCAAATAACTCTCCCAAGGTGACCCAGGCCGGTAGCAGAGGTGGAATTAAACCCAGACAGCCTGGCTCAGAAATCCAAGCCCAAGACCAAGCTTCATTGCCAGAGTGTGCATTCCATAAATCCTGAGGGATTACCTGTGACAGACCTTGGCCAACAGGTGTGGGCACCACTTTGAACTTTCTGTCCCTGCTGTGCTAGAAGACCTGTGATACAGTCATACATAAGTTACCCGCCTGGCCGACAGCCAAGAAAAATGAAGCCATATTATTTTTCAGCATAAAAGAGAACCCCACTCCTGTTACCAGACAAAACATGGCATCAGGGGAAAATTAATTTGGTTCAAAGTCATTGTATGGTTTCGGTTACTTTCAGACTCTCTGACAGCACAGCATAGGTGGTAAGAGCACACACGTCCTGGGCTCACACCCCACCGCTGCCCTTGCTGGTCCTGAGACCCTGGGTGAGTTTCCTCGTTCATACAGTGGAGCCAAACCAAGTCTGGCCTCCTTGCGGCTGCGGTGAAGATGCAATGAGATCATCTGCATAGGGGCCCGGCTACTTTTTTCTGTTAAGGGCCGGATAGTGAATTGTTTCGGCTTTGTGGCCTACACAGTCTTGGTCAGAACTACTCAACTCTGCCACTGGAGCGTGAAAGCAGACGGACAGTATGTAATGAGTGTGTGTTCCAATAAAATTTTATTGACACAAGCAGGCAGTGGGCCAGATTTGGCCCATGGACCCTAGTTTGCCAACCCCTGACCTACTTGAAGGGCTTAGCTCACAGGGCCTGGCCCACGGAAAATGCTCAATCAGTGCAGGAGGAGCCAGGCTGCTGTGTAAACCTGGAATGTCCTTGTCACTGAATAAGGACGGTGGGATGAAAAGCCACTGCCCTTCATATATGCCTGTGCCTGAGCAAGCAGTGTTAGCCCACTGTCTGGAGAAACTTTGTTGAATCGTGTTAGGAAACTTTTTTTTATGCTCCTTGGCAGCTAGCATTATTACCTTTATTTAAGTAGTTGCAGGGAAATAACACAATTGAATAAACTAGAGGCAAGGAGATTAGGAGTATTGAGTATTTTTCTCGGTTGATTATGCAACATTTAAGGACATATGTAAAAGCATAAAGAATAACACTACAGATACCCATATAAACTGACCATCCAACTTAAAAGATAAAATGTAAAGGGAGGTTCTGTCCCTTTCTTCTAAGAGATACAGCCCTGGAATGGATGTTTATCATTCCTCTGTTTATCGTTTCTTTGTGTGCCATGGGGGCCAGCAAACTTTTTCTGTAAAAAAGCCTGACAGTGAATTTTGGCTTTGCAGGCCCTACAGTATTAAAACTACTGAACTCTACCATGGTAGCTTGCAAGGGCCAGATAATACGCAAGTGAATGGATATGTCTGTGCTTTAATAGAACTTGGTTTACGAAAACAGGCAGAAAGTCACATTTGGCCCGTGGGCCATAGTTTGCAGCCCTGGTGTGTGTTTGTGGAATGAATGTTTGCATGTTTGTGGACTGAATGAATGAATGAGCATATTCTTGCAGTTTTTTCTGTATCTATTTAAAATGAAAAATGTACATGCTCTTGGACTCAGCAATTCCACTTCTCATATCCAAGGTATACAAGCATTCTAACACTGTGTGAGGAGGCATGTCCATCTGTCACGGGCGGTGATAGTGAAGAAATTAGAATCCACCTAGAGTCCATCATCAGGGGACTGGCTGAATGAACAGTAATATTCATACTTTGGATTTCCATTTGGCCACGAAAACAAATGAGCACACAGTTTGAGAAGAGTGAGCGAGGGAGCATGGGGCAAGCAAAGGTCAGTCCGAGTGGTGAGCAGAGCCCATGCAGGACCTTGGAGCCACCCAAGGAGTTCAGATTTGACTCCAGGTACCCTAGACACCATTAACCTTCTTAGCAGACTGAGCAAAAGAAAGTGCCTATAATACTGCTTGTTGCTCCTGAAGTCCTATACCATCTATTGCATAAAATCCTTTCACACCCATTATTGAGATGCAGCAAGAGAAGGAAGGGAAAACCTTGACTTAAGAATTATTGGCCAATTGTGAGACTCCGTTGGTAGCCTGGCTTTCTGAACCTCAGTTTCCACATCTTTAGAATGGAAAAGCAATACTGCCTGTTCTGTGGGAGTGTTGTGAGAATGAAAGGGATGTGTGTTGCTAAGTACCTCATTCAGAGCCTGATATGTTTATTCTTTCCCCTTCCTTTAATCTCCTGACAACCTGCTGGCAAGTATCAGTATGTTATTTCTTAAAGAGAAAGCTAGTCCTGGTCACCAAGGAATCATTTTACCCCTCTAAGCATTCTCTTCATTTATGGGAGTGAATGGGTGAGAAGGAGGGAAACCACAATTACAAAACCATCCCCAGAACTAGAAATGTTCTTTTAAAAACACACATTTAAATCGTATCAAAGTACTATTTTACACCTATAAGATAGACAAAGATAATCAAAGTGTATTACATTTTCAATGAAAATACAATATCTGGGCTTTTGATAGTGGATTAGCCCCCCTCCTTTGATACAGTCCCTTCTCCAGCCAGTTGCTCATGGGATTGGAGTCTGTAGTTTGGAGAAGATTTCAGAGTTTGGCCAAAACAGAAGGAAGACTTGTAACTGTGGCCTTTGGATAAGCATCACCCCCCTTCCCACCGCCCCCGGCCAAAACAAAACAAACAAACAAACAAACAAAAAACAGAGAATGTGTCTTAGGGTTAAGTGGAATCATCATTATAGAGGAAGGATGGTTCATTTAACACCTTCACCCAGACTCCTGATGAACTTTAAACCATACAGGGTGCTGCTCCATGGAGAAGGGGATTGTAAACTCACTTCCTTCAGAGCCAGGCAGGAAGCAGGAACCTGATCACACGTGCAAAATAAAGCACCTTAAAACCAGCCTCCGTGTCTCAGAGACAGTACAGGATCCGTGGTGACCCGGGATACACAATCTGGAAGCCTCTAGGTATCTAGTTGTCACATGGGAATACAAGCATAGCACCAACCCATTGCTCAAGAGAAAGCATAAGTCCAGATTTTTGGGTGAAATCCTCCTGATTTTTAAACATAAACAATTTCATATTTTCCTTAAAAATATGCACACTTAGCAAAATATGTCTGTAGACTAACTTTGGTTCACAAGCCAATAGTTTGCAACTCCTGGTTTGGAAGCTGATAAACTTGCACGCTGTCTTGACTCAGTAGCTCTTCTGTGGGTGACAAGGGAGCATCCTTTTCATGTGTCCCTGGTGCTTCTCCTTCCTCCTCCCAAGGCATCAAGACAGAAGACAGCTTGAACCATTCCCCCGGCCAGAGTGGATTCCTCAGCTATGGCTCCAGCTTCAGCACCCCACCCACCGGACAGAGCCCGTATACCTACCAGATGCATGGTCAGTGTGGCGCTGCGGCCCCTCCCTTCCCTCTCCAAGGCATTGCCTGAGTTGGGTGTCATTCATTCATTTATTCAGCAGATTTGAGTACCTACTATGTGCCAGGGTCTATCTCAAGTAATGGAGTTACAGTGGTGGACAGAAGATATGAGGTTGCCCTTATAGAAACTGATACTAAACAAAGCAACAAATAAACCGACTAATTTGGGAAGAGTTGAGTGCAATGAAGCAAATAAGTGTGTTGTTTGGATAGGGAGTGATGAGCAGTTGTGGGGCAGTCAAGAGGCATTGGATATGTAACTTTAGGTAGAATCATCAGGAAAGGCTCTTTGTTGGACAAAGACCCAACGGGTGAGTGGAGCCAGCTATGTGCAGACCTAGGGGAAGAGCATTCCAGGCAGAGGGAAAAGTCAGTGCAAACGCTGTATGGAGGGAAATGTCTTGACATATTTGAGACACAGAACTAAGACCAGCAAGGCTGGAGCAGAGTCGGGGACATAGGAGGAGAGAAGGCAGAGCTGAATCACACAGGCCTTGAGGGCTGTTGGCTTTGATTTTAAGTGTGATAGACAGGAAGTTCACTGCACACTCAGGGAAGTGCTGGGTGGTGGGAAGAGTGGCCAGGCAAGTAAAGTAACTATTTCAGCTGGAGGTTCAAGGCTGCATCCCCATAAGGTGGCCTTCGGAGGGGAAGAAGAACTCCAGTGCATAACTCCCTCCTCAGATAGGCCAAGAAACTGGCCTACTAGATTCTCCTGTGTCCACCGTGGCTCTTTTACCCACTGTGGGCCCCTTCTCTTCTCCAGTCCTCCATTGGGAGCACGTTAGAGCTGATGCATGGGACAGAGGGCTGGTGGCATCTTTTGGAAGATCTTTTGGAGATCTTCATCCCCGTGTTTTTTCTTTCGTGAAAGCTGGTGAAAATGACCAACAAGGGTCTGAAAAGTTATGTGAGAACCTGAAGAGGTAATGACAAGGTGGTGGGCTAATGAGTGATTGTACTTTTCGCTTTAAAAACTCTTTGCACATATTGTCACTTAACGTTCTTTAAAATGGATGTCAAGGGCAGCCTTTTAGGTAAAATCCTGGTGAAAATTCAGCAAGTAATAATAGGGGTATGTAAGAGAAACAGGGCGCTGAGCACTGATGCCCAGCACTGGAATACTTCCGTGTAAAAGTCCGCAGCAGACTGCTGGTGACACCATCAGCTGAGATTGGCCAGACACCACATGCCACCTGATGTTGCTGGATCATCTGATACAGTCTTCATGACACTCCAAAGCATTGGTGCTGGTATTGTTCCCATTTTCCAGGAGAGGAAACTGAGGCATAGAGGGAATGACTGATCTACAAATGCAACAGGAAACAGACTGAATCGGGTCTCTTGGTGGTCTGGTAGAATCCCAACTCCAAAACCCATGCTTTTCGTCATGGTACTGCCCTATCTCCGCTTCCTCTGTTGTCACCTCTGTCATCCCACAGTGGCCTTTCTGAGTTCCCTTGAAGGGTACAAGCTGCTGGGACCTTCTCTAAGTGCAGAGTGAATTGTGGTACCGATCCCAATAATAAAGGTCTGTGAAGACACTGAACTTGAACTTGCATTTGAGCCAATCTCAAGCCAATTTTTTTTTCCAGTTCTGCCAGTAGCAACAGAACTTACTGCCTTGAGCATCTAAGGCTGCAGAGGTTGAATAGCAAACACAGTCCACCCTCCCCCATTCTAGTAGCCCCTCCCCACCCCGCTGTGTAATAAGTGAGTTATGTAGGTATGGCTCCCCATCCACCCATCATTTATTCTCTATAACTGAGCACCAGCTGTATGCCTGGCACCCTGGGGTACAGCAGTCAACAAAGACAATTCTCTCATGGAGAGGGACAGGCAATAATCAATTAACAAATAAATAGGTGGCTACAAATATTGGTAAAGCTTGTAAAAGACAAAAACAGGGCAGTGTGATGGGCCATGAGTTGGGGAATGGTGATGGATGTTACTGCTCATCACCTCAGGTGGTGATGGATGTTACTCAGGTGGTGAGGGAGACCAACCATGTGAGCAGCTGGAGACAGGACAGCCCGGGAAGAGGGGACAGCAGAGGCCCTGAGGTAGGAAAGGCCCTCATTGTTGAAGGACGCCAAAGCAGACTCGTGAATCTTGGTAGAGTGAGTAAGGGAAATGAGCTTGAAAGGTGAGCAGGCACTTCCCGGGACCAGGATATGAAGAATAATGTTATTTCCTCTCTGGTCCTTACAGCAACTGTGGGAGGTGGGCACCATCAGCTCTGCTCTACAGATGATGGAAATGAGGCTCAGAGAGGAGAGGTGACTTGCCTAGATCACAGAGCCAATACATGTTCCAAGCTGGGATTCAGACTCAGGTTTCTAGAATTTTGGAGCCCATGCTGATCCTCCTAGTGTTATTTCCAGGACTCCTTCCGGACTCCTAAGCTCTGAATATTCGCCTTTCCCTTCATCTTCCCATTAGGCCGCTGACATAGGTTCTGTCATGATCCCCATTTTACAGGTGGAGATACTGAGCTACAAAATGGTAAAGTAACTTGGCCAAGGTCGCATGGCTGTGGTGGTGGGATTTGAAGCCAGGCGGTTGCACTCCAGAGCCCAGGAGGATAACCACCACACTATCCTGCCCTCCAACTCTTGGAGATTCTTCTAGGACAGTGGTCAGCAAACTGCTCGCGAGCCACATGGGGCTCTTTGGCCCCTACCATCCCTCCCCACCCCTCGCAAATGGAAAAAAGACCTCTTGCTCTTCCTCACCCGCCCCACCATGAGAATAATCCAGGTTATTTTCTTAATCTTCCTTATGGCCAAGATGCCAGAAAGGCTACAGCAGCAGCTGGACTTTGTCCCAATTAAGTGCCTTCAGTAATGCTAAT